GTATAATAGTTACTAGGTTTGTTTATAGTTATTATTCCCATGTTTAACAGAGTTATTAGCAAAGTTTGCATATGTAAACAGGTAATGTCTGGGGTCACAAGTGTGTGCAACTGGTATTTTGCGGGTTGGAAGCAAAAAAATTTGAAAATCACTGATCTAGTGGATAAGTGACACGCATATGAACAACACATCTGACAGATTTCACCGGCAGCTGTTGACAGTAATGTTGATCAATAATATTTAAAGAACTCAAATAGTGCTTATAAATTTTAGCAAGTGCTAATCCACTAATGAATTAAGAAATTAGCAAAAGCCCTAAAGCACTAATCAGGAAATTAGTTCCCCTACTAGTGCTTTAGTGCTTTAGGGGAACTGTGCCCACCACCATTTTTTTAGTATCTGGTAATTTTAATAGTTTGTTTTATCATTATGGTTTATATGTTTTTGTTTTGTGTTCTAGGTCTAAGTGCCTGTGATGCGTATATCCTTCAAATACAGAAAGTCAAAGAAAACAACTTTATAAAGAAACTTTGCATAATACATGTGATTTTACTCATTTTGTCACATAAATTGCATATTTACTTTTGAAACTTGGCTAAGTTGAAGTGAAACAGGAAGTGACAACAAACAGGAACTTTTTAAGAACGAGAACTCTATTGAAACAATATTTAAACTTTGACTGGAAACTTTAATTTAAACTTTGTCTCTGTTAGTGACTCAAAATAGTCTAAAGAAACATCATATTCTTCTCTACAATCTGTGTTAGGTGTTGTGGCAACGCTCTGTTTACAGGCAGACATTCCTCTTTGACATCACTTCCTGTTTCTTCATATGCAAATATCTCAACAACTTTTTATCTCAGCAATTTGTTTGTGAAATTAGTTTTGCAATATGTTATTAATGTTATCTTTCCAAAAATGTGTTCATATTTATTGCAAAAATTTGATGTCACAGGCACTTTAAAGCTGATTTATATTTCCACTCTCACGTCTCGCAAACAGTCTTGCATGATGAAAATTGCGTAGCTTTCGTCGGTTATCTCCCGCTTAAACCCTGTCTTGTAGCAGCTTGCTCTTTCCATCTCCGCGATTAACAATAAAAAAAGCTAGATTGAAGTCCGACTTCTCAGCCAACAACACAAGCCTCTCTTCATACTTCGAGTGGAAAAAGCAACTACCTGCCCTGCTATCACTGTTGTTTATATTAGCAAGAAGTGGTGTGTGTTAAATTGGGAGTGCTGTGGTAAGAATTATGATTATGTGACCCTGCGTCTTTAGCCCAACTAAAAACACTTCATGACACAAAGACATACCGGTAATCACTGACTCATTGTCTCATGTCTTGTTGAAGTATAAACACTGTTTCCAAACGGCAGGTGTGGTCATTTCTATTCTTCAACCCTGGTCCATTTAGTCCTCGGGCCACAAGAAAAAAAATTGGTGTCAAAAAGGAACTAAAAAAGTTTGGTATAGACAATTGAATAGACCCAAAATACTGACAAAAATATTTGATGACTATTTAAATTTGGTAGCTAAAGACTATTAGATGCTATTTTTATTTTTCAAAATGCATCAAATAACTAATATGGATTCTTAGTAATCTACAAAGAGATGCACAAAATTGTGTTGTGAATAGATAAAAACACTCAGAACTGTATGTGAATAATAAATGTTTAGGTGCACAATATGAAATTAATTAGCTCACTTACTGAGCTAATAAATTGGTAAAAAAAAAAAAATAGACTTAACCTGGGCCCAATTTTAGACTTAAAGATATTCATTTTAAATTCCCACTTCATAAGATTCTATTACACCTACACATATTGTACAAGTTTATTGAAAACCTTCCTGCCTAACATTATAATGCCTGCTGGGTGGTTCAGATCAGTTCTTTGTTCTCAGAAACAGTTTTCTTACCCCTTCCTCCTTATTCAATAAATGGAGCATCTAATTATAAAATTTCAAATCAATATACATTCCTGCAATACATAAATATTATTCTGAGTATAATACATTTTATTTTTCATTGTTTTTAAGTATGTTAAATAAAGAATGTTTTTTTTTTGCAATAAACACTATCGTCTTTTAAAGAATAGATTTGTAGAACTTCAGTATATATATATA